GATAATAACAAAGCGATCAAAGGCCGATAAATCCGAGAATTACCTGATTTGGTTCAATGACCGGCCGGGGAAAAGTCCAAACAGCTTCGGGGTTAATGTTGTTGTCAATACTAGAGAAGCGCTCACAGCGTTGACGTATTAACTAAGTGCAATTTAAATCACTTGATCTTGTACGTCGTTGCTGAGATGATTGGTGGTAATAATGTACAAGGTGGCCGGAACTGGTAAGGTAGGTTCAAGAAAAATGGACTCATATATATTTGTCACTTCAGGGTCCATCTATCTCTAAACTTTATGACACTTTGGATCTCCATTGTAACAGATATCTGAGTATGTTGTTCCTCAGTCAATCCCCCATCGGGTTGAAAACTTGATTGTAGAATAGGGTCTGTGGATGATTTACCAGCGCGCTGTGGCAGATTGTCCTCTAAACGGCCTCAGAATAGCAGAAGGTCCAGCAGAAGGAGAGGGGCATCTGGCTGATGGCTCTTCAGGTGCTTGGAACCTGTCAATGGTCCGCGGCACGTCGGAAAGAGCCGTCTGACAAATGATGAGCATAAGGGGAATATTCTGGCGGAGTGGCTTCAAGATCTGGCGAGCTGCCTTGATGGCCGGTACTGAGTAGCCCCCGATCCCCATGAAATCGTCATCACGCCGAGTACGCCGTTCGTCAGGCAATTGAAGCAGTTCCCGCCAGATCTTCGCAATGATCTTCTCTGTCGGTGTCTCAGGCAGTTCGCCTTGACCTGGAGTGATGGACACGGCTAGGGTTTGCAGTGCGATGCGATCTACTTTCATGCTGGCCGATTGAGGCAGCTCAGGGACTAAAATTATGTTGGTTGGGCGCACATAGGAAGGCAGCAGTGGACACAATGCCTGGAGCAGGGCGCCAAGGTCAACATCATCAGGGGTCATGAAGGCAACAATGCGCAATTGGTCCGCGACAATGACAGCAGTGTTGGAAATGGCCTTGTCTGCCTGCCTGACCGCTTTTTCAACTTCCGCTAGTTCTATGCGGAAACCGCGGATGGTGGTCCATGTGACTTATGCATGCGGTTGTTCCATCTTCGTTCCATCGCCCCAAATCACCCATGCAATACATGATCTTCTCCTGCTCGGTGCGGAAGGGATTGGGCATGAAGGCTTTCCGGGCCGGGGTCGCGCTCCTATTCCAATACCCATCGGCCATCTGCTCGCTGGAAATGTCAATGTGGCCAAGCACCCCCAACCGGCACCGGGCATTGGTGGTGGTCCAAAATGTAAACGTCGACATGCGGCAGCCGGCGTCCAATAGTCACTTTGTCGCCCTGCTGTAGCTGGATGGGGGTGGAAAAGGGTCCGCACTAGATGTGTCTGTCAGTTCATCATTGCCACAGACAACATCCATACCCGTACCTCACTCGGGCTATAAATGAACAGCTGCTTATGTGCCCATGCGTCCGCCAGCGCCTGGGGGATGGACACTCCCCCCAGGACGAGCGTTCTCAGCTCCAGGACGACGTCGGGGGAACAGGCGGCTATAAACGACGGAGTAGTCATAATTGTATGTACATCATGCAAGTGGTCAAATGGATCCTCCAGATCCCTGAGCACCAAGGTGGCGCCATGGAGGAGATATCTGGATATTTCTACAGCCGCAAGGTCGAACCCTATTGCGCTGACCTGGGCAATACAGCGGCCAGGTCCCAAGCTGAGTCGAGCCATCTCAGCCATACTCATGAGGAGCAATGAGAGATTGTGCAAAGGGATGCCTAGACTGTTAACTGTCAGTTCACAAGCACAGTCGAACAGGAGAGAACGGGGAGGCGGGGTTACCATTTAGTACTCCTGTGCTTCCCGATGTGAAGACAAGGTAGACCACGTCGGTAGGTTTACTAGTCGTTTGCAACGGCGTAGCGGGAGACATCGAACAGAAGGCACAGCCGAAGACAAATTTCAGCCAGTTTCCAGCTGCAGGGTGAGGCTGAATGAAGTCACATCTTCCTGCTGTACTTTCCACAGAGTTGGCAGCATCTCGCACGCCCCTGCCAATGAGGAGAGATCATGTTCCACAGCCACAATACTTTGGAAGATTCCCTCAATTTGGTCGGCACTCAGATGCCCTATAGCGTCCGCCGCGGACCATTAGCACTCTTGCATCTGCAAAAAGCAACGATCGGTATCGGAGAGTAGCAAGTAGCTCTTGCAGGGACTGTCCGTCGTGGAAGTGTAGTGGGAAGGGACAGGTATTGACCAAGTGTCCAATCGCGCGCTCAACCACTGGCATGCCTGGATTGCACCCTGAAAACACTGCACCGAAACTATCGATGGAATGAGGCAACGGGGTTCAATAATCATCTCTCTGACGCTCGCCCCAACGAAGGATTTGGAAGGTTTGAGAGCAGTAATGGAAACAAGAGGGAAATGAGACAAGTAACCATGCCGCTAGGCACTAACCATACCCCTAAGCTAATTGGTTACTTTACCCCTTCACTAGGCTTGATCAGATTCTCCAGATTCCTCCAGGATCTGTTAGTCCCCCATCCACCCCTGCTGCTGCCAATCTTTGGGGACCGTATAATTGGCATCCGTCGTACTTCATGGACCTAGAGTAGCTAGCTGGTTGAGATTGCGGGTGCTTGAGCCCTTAATTTTTTTGGTTACCCATCATTATAGTGGCCTTTTAGGATAGAAATCTTGTAACCTTATTTTATCTTTTGTATTGATGTTCGGGTTTTGGAGAATCCACCTTGGAGTCAGGTAAGGGGATATTTAAGGTAGAATCTTCTATATTCTTCTATATTCTTCTTTATTCTTCTGTATTCTTCTGTATTCTTCTGTATTC